CATCCATCATGTAGGAAATTATTTTGTTCTTATCTGAATTCAGATTATTTCTAATCTTTACTCCTCTAATGCCATTTATTGTTTGTGGTTATTTATGTACACATTATTTGTCTCATCTACTCTGATAGTTATTTAAGGGGAAAATAACTCTTTTTCATTTCTATTATAGCATAACACCTGGAGCAGTGGATTGCATATGATAGTTTAGTTAAAGAGATTTTAATTGATTGAATAAACAAGAACTAGCCAAGGTAACTATAGTGGAAGTTGTGATTAATGAGAACCTTCTATACTATTAAGTTTCACACGAAAAACGTATCCCCAAACTTTCATTTGGACCATTTCACTGTGGAAGCTAGAAGATGCCTTTGAAAACGGGCCTGAGCCCTTTGTGTTTCTCACTCAATCATAAGACATACCCCCATAAATTCTAACATTTTGTTCTATTAATCCTAATAACTTATTAATCTTAATAAATTATTAATAAAGTCTAACATTTTGCTCTATTAATCTTAATAGAGCAAAATAAGAAATAAGATGGTTTCAGATAACAAACCATCTTTTTGTTTTTAAATTCTAGCTACACTAATTTATGCTTTCGTAATATTGTTATATATTTGTACATATTTTTTGCTAAATGATTCTTTTTTCTTCTAAATTGTCCACATTTCCAAATAAAAGACCAATGATCATACTTACATATTTGTGAATGCTTTGAAATTTAAAAATAACTGATATTTAAACATAATCATAATTAGTGAAGCCCTGTTTTTCATCAACCAAAGCTCAACAAGAAAGCAAAAAGCATAGAATCAAGATAAAGTTAGGCTAGATTCAAGTATAAATTTTCCAGCAATGAAAACTGCTAAGAACTTAGATTTGTATTGGAAAATTTTTAAAAATGCCCATGCAAGAAAACCTAAAATGCAGAACTGCTATAATAAAGTTACTGAAAGTGCAACTTTTTCTCTACCAAGACTCAGTAAACTTTAGACTATGCTCACTGATCCTGTAAATGAAATTTACAAATAATAGTACACTTACTTAAAATAAAAGTTTTGGTCACAATATGACTAATAAATAACAAATTCACAAATTATTTCAACTTTTGACCATTTTTTGTGATGTCCTTGCTTTGCTTATGCTCAATGTATAACCAGCTTTTCTAGCTGTTATAATCTATTTCCTAGAACACTAAGACAATCATTTACATATTAAAAAGTAACCATTGTTTGAGTAGAGACAATACCAAACATATGGAGAAGAGTATAATTCTTCCTTTCTTCCTTCCTTCCTTCCTTCCTTCCTTCCTTCCTTCCTTCCTTCCTTCCTTCCTTCCTTCCTTCCTCTCTCTCTCTTTCTTTCTTTCTTTTTCTCTCTCTTTGTTTTCTTTTTCTTTTCTCTTTCTATTTTGCCAAGCTGTTTTCATGTTGAAAAGTAAAAAGCTCTCTACACTGTCAGAATAAAAAAAAAAAAAAATACTGCCAAAATGCTTCAGCTTTAAGCTTTCATTCCATCTACTGAAAACACACTCCAAAAGAACTGAATCAGATCCAATCATTCAGGAATAATTTAAACATTTTTATGGGGTCAACAATGCAAAGTTTGTGTAAAGTTGCTATGTTATCCAGGTGCAAGATTCAAAATTCTACAGAAATCTTGCCATCCCAGGATCTGTAGCAATAGAAGGATCTTGCAGAGCCATGCATAATTGTACCCTAGAGAGAACTAAAAGATGAAATATCTGCTACACACAAAAAAAATAAAAGAAAAACAAGTAAAATAGTTTTGTGGATAGATGCTGTGGTAGATGCAGGCATTGTAGAGTTTTAATCTTAATAATTTGAGTGAGATCGCTTTAAGTAAAAATTAAAAACTTTTATTTGATAGTGAATGTTTATTTAGAATATCAAAAGAAATATTTAGAAATATTGAAACATCCAAAAAAAGAACATCATATATATATTTTAGCTTATTATTAGTTTTAAGTATACAGTACATTGGTCAGACATTTATACAGTTTATGAAATGATTCCTCTGAATACATATTTTCTCCACTGGCTCTACAGCTAGCCATTACATTACTGCAGAATGCATTCCCTAGGCCGTGCTCCCCATCTCCATGACAGTCTATCAAATACAGATTTGTCATTCTTTAAGCCTTCACCCCTTTCTCCCAGCTTCTCAAATCTCCTCTCCTCTGGCAATAATCAGATTGTCATCTATATTTGTGTCTGTTTTTGATAGTTTGTTCTTTTTGTTCCTTAGATTCCACATATAAGTGAAATAATACATTATTTATGTTTCTCTGTCTGATATATTTCCCTCAGCATAATAACCTCTAGGTCCATCCATGTTGTTACTAATGGTAGGATTTCATTTTTTAATGGCTGAGTAATATTCCATTGTACATATGAACCATAAATTATTTATCCAATTATCTGTTGATGAGCATTTAGGTTGCTTCCATATCTTGGCTACTGTAAATAGTGCTGCCATGAATATAGGGGGTGCATAGATTTTTACAAATTATTGTTTTGGTTTTCTTTGTATTAATACCCAGATGTACAATCACTGAGTCAAAAGGTATATCTATTTTTAAATTTTTGAGGAACCTCCAGACTACTTTTCATAGTGGCTGTACCAATTTATAATCCAATCAACAGTGTATGAGGATTCCCTTTTCTTCACATCCTCAGGAACACTTGTTATTTGATTTATTGATGACAGCCATTCTTACAGGTGTGAGGTGATATCTCATTGTGGTTTTCATTTGCATTTCTTTGATGATTCGTAACCTTGAGCATCTTTTCATATGTCTGTTGGCCATCTGTATTTCCTCTTTGGAGAAGTATCTGTTCAGGTCTTCTGCA